TCATCCAATTTTGGACAGAAACGGTGCAAAAGCTTTTCCCCAATGTGTACGCGCGCGAGTGTGTGCGTGCACACGTCGCGTCGGGACACCGGTGAGCCATACGGGCGTATTTACGTGTACTTTTTGAAAATCCGTGAATCGTTGCGCAGTAATGCGGGTTTTGCATCAGGCGGACCCCCTCTCGACGGTCCCCGTTTCATGCGCCAGTTTTCAACCCTCGCGTAATCCAATTTCCGTAGACTGGCGCGCAGGCCTTCGAATTTCGAGTAACGACCCTCGGAGCCCTCCTCGGCCCGAATATTCGATCCGCAGAACGGGATAACCGAGCCATTATCGTCCGGCTAAATTAAAAGTTGCTTCGCCTGTTTAGACCAGCTAACCACCACCCGCTGAATGATGGAACGTGAAGAGATCGATGATAAAACGGCTCGGTTTCAAACGAAGCACAATGAAATTCGTGGAAATTTTCGAATCCTTGATAACCGGGGACAACGGTATCAACCGATGGTGATTGATCTCTAGATTGCGAACCTTCATGCGTGAACGGCGAACGCGAACAGGCGAAACTGAGTGGGGTAAAAATTTTGCACGGGTACGATCGCTGATTTAATTAGCAGATTTGATTAGATACTCGAGAAAAAGTGAATTTTCTAAAAAAAGCCGCGACTGATTGATCGATTATGATTACGGTATCGATATCGAAGAAGAAACGGAGACGAAACAGACTGAACCGCGTGTACAGACTCTATTTATGTAGAAGCTAAGAAACTTTTTCAAATTATCCATATAATCGTTCAAAAACGAGATTAATGGTCGTCATTAGAATTCAACAATTGTCATTAGCATTTAGAATCATTAGAATCTCATCATTTAAATCGCACGCGAATGAAATGAACGGTATCCAACGAATCGCGTTAAAATCGAGCACGTCACTTCGGAAATCATCTGTTCGGGGATGGCAGCTAGCGCTGCTTCGTTAGTGTAGTGGTGGGGGGGATATTTGTGTGGTGGCTCTTTGAAGGTGGTAGGGACGAAAACGATGTGACAGGCCCTTCACAGGGCACCGTGCCTGCACCTAACAGTAACCTGGGAGAGCCCAGAGAGGCGTAAGCCCGGGAAGGACCATAGATTAGCACCTTTTCAACGTCTTTAAATTCCGTTTACGTCTCGCCGGCAGCTGTTCGTCTCGGTCCTTAAAAGTTCCCTCGCGAAGATCCACCTTCTTCACCCTTGTTTTTAATCCTTCCTCGATCTCCCGTCGAAATATGCCTTCCTCGTGTCGTTCGATGTACTCCGTCGAGACTGTAGAATTTCGGTCGTGTGCTTCGTCGGCTCGAGTGCTCGTTTGACCGACGTCCTTCGGAGGTGGCCCACCCTTCCCGTCGTCGCGCTCACCCCTCGCCGATGCCACGTGCCAGCGACGCCTTTTCAGAGATCCCGGCGTCTTGACCGATCGGAGGAGCGCGAAACGATCATCCCCGTGACCGTGTGTGCTCTCCGGTAAAGGAAGTGGTGTTTACGGGCGGCTCGCGCGACAAAAATGACCGATAAAGTTCTACACGTGACGCCCGACGGGATCGTGTCGTTTCGGAGCCGATTTATTCGCGTTTAACGATACCCGTCGGACACCGTTGACACGGAGATGCGACGGAGGATCCTCGATACGAAGACGGTCGATCGTTGTCCACGGGATTAAAGTGCTCGCTGGTAAGGACGAAGAAGTTACAGATAGTTTCGCTTTGTGACTGGTACTAGATGAATAGAAGTCGTTCGTGTTTACGCGGGGTGTGATTCGGTTGTTATTAATTTTCCGTGGGCCGGTTCGAATGAAAATGCTTTCTGTTCGTTCGTTGTTTCATGGAAGCATTCTGTGTGAATGGAGTTTCATCGTTCGAGTCGTGGTTTTTAAATTGGTTTTCGGAAATGAAGAATTTTAGCTAGATGGGGACCTGTTGGTGATGGATTTCACTGTGGGGAGAATTATTCTAGTTCGTATTTAGTTGATTCATTTTCTGAAGAATTATTTCAGTGAACCGAAGTTTATCGAAACGCTGCTTTCAAACTTTCCACTCGTTATCCATGTTTCGTTGTAGTATGGACAATCGTAGAAAGGATAATTACCAATTGTTATTCTATTCATTGTCAGAGTAGTGTGAACAAAAGGAACTCATCAGCTCGATACGTTTGTTTCATTTTCCATAGAGATACAAGTCCTCGTTAGGGTTCTTATCGTTTTATTCGTTTCCCTTCAGCTCGTGCTGACATCGACGATTCACCCTGTAGCGCTTGCCATCGATACCCGAAATTGGCACAGTTCAATGACCCGAGGATTATTTCGTTAGGAAAGCGCGCGCGGGTCTGTCAACTTCAATTAGTAATTACGGAGCTTGCGAAATGCATATTCCTACCATTTCTCCGCGTTCAGCCCCAAACCATGGGCGTATATATGACTCATATTCCGAGTTCCCCAAACGTCTCCCTTTTCGGACCATGTCCATTCGCGTGTGGGGTGTCTGAACGAACTTCGACACATCAAACTTACATGTATACATGTTTCTCCTTCGCTCGTTAGGTAATGCTGTCTTCGTTGTTGTAAAGAGTACAGGGTGTCGCGTAACCGATGGCATAGCTTCGAAGCAGATGAGTTTACGTGAAAAATGTAGGAGGCAATTAACTCCTCCGAATCCTCATTTCGAGGATTCGAAAACTATGTCGCAGAGACACAAATCACTTCATTCGAATTCAATGAATATTTACACGGGGATTAGTCAAAAGCTCGCGAGGTCTCGAACAAACAAGCTTCGCGCTTCATTTTCAACGTACTGTCCGGTACAGGATCATGCCCATCCCGAACCACCAATTACAAGACACCCTGTACACCGAACGAGTCCTTAGAGAACGCCGGGAAACGCGGATGAAATTACAGAAACCATCGATCCACCCTCGAAATCCATTCCGTTGACTGACGGAAAAGAGAGAAAGAAAAATAGAAGGGTCCAGAGTTGCGCATATTCGATATCGAAGATGTTCAGGTAAAATAACGAGGCGAACTTGTTGTGCCCGGCAGGGTGAGGAGATCTAAGGACGCGGGGGACCGATCTGGTCCGGTGGCCTGTCACGTAGAGTGGAAGCGTCCTCGAGGATGGCGCGCGAGGCGACGATATCAGAGCTGACGGAACTGGACAGCGACGGGTCGAGTTGCGGCGAGCGCGGCGATGCCAGGAAACGTCTCCGGTTCGACGGGGATTCGACGGGGCCGAAGAAACGCCGGAAACAAACGACGCCCGTGAGGTTCCCCGTGGTGCCAAGGGCCGACATGCTGCTGCACGACGAGTCGAACGAGGACGAGGATGAAGACGAGAACAGCGAAGGTAAGCTGTCGACGCAGTCGCCCTTGCCGCGACGGTCGTTGTTGCGCGGCGACGAGAACCTGAATAACGAGTTCCGTTGCCAGTATTGTAGTCAGTTATTCGACGATAAGGAATCGTTGCACGCGCATCTCGATAACGAGCACGGTACCGCGACGCAGCTGGCCGATCGGAACCGATCCGACGGCTCGCCGAGCGCCGCGATCAAGATGGAGCCGCCGTCCCAGCAACCGGACCAACACGAGAACTCCGTGAATCTGCTCAGCGTAAAGAGCTTCGCGGCGAACTGGCTAGGCGCTGGCCCGCACGCGCACACGCAGATGCAAATGCAGATACAGATGCAGATGCAAATGCAGACGCAGATGCAGATGCAGATGCAGATGCAAATGCAGACGCAGAACGAGGAACTGTGGTCGTCGCCGGTCACCGCGAACCAGATACCCGCGTTACCGAACCACTTGCAAGCGTTGTCCGGGTTCTCCGGCACGCTGACGCAATACCTGCCCATGCCCGCGTTCCCGCTAACCGATTCCAGCCACATGACGAAACCGTCGATGGGACAGACGCCGGTCAGGATCTTCAATCCGGACGCGTACTGCGACCTATGCAACAAGGAGTTCTGCAACAAGTATTTTCTCAAGACGCACAAGGCGAACAAGCACGGGATCTACGTCGACTCTCCCGGCCCTAGCACCGCGGAGGGCAACGTCGTAGGGACACTGTACCCGAGCAACATGACGAACAGCATGGTCAAGCTGGAAGCGCCGGCGACGCCTCCGGCGCTGAGCGTCGCCTGCGATCTGTGCCAGAAACGGTTCAAGAACGAGGAGACCATGCGCAAGCACAGGCAGAAGATGCACACCGAGCTGCCGGATCAGTCGCAGGAGGCTCAGTTCGGCTTTCCGCAGAACGAGGAGGACGGGGTGACTCCGAGGGACAGCCCCAGCGGCGTGGAAGCGCTTTTCAAGCAAGAATTCGGCGTGGAACAGGAGGACGCGTCGTTTGTTCCTGCGCCCAGACATCTATCGCCCCAGTCGATCCAGCAGGCAAGGGACGCGGGGTTCAACGCGGATCGGCTGCGACGCTTGGGGGTGATCAATCCGGAGGCGTTCTGCGAGATCTGCTGCAAGGAGTACTGCAACAAGTACTTCCTCAGGACGCACAAGATGAAGAGACACGGCATCGTGATGCAGGAGAACGAGAAGTCGCCCGGCAACCCGGGCGCGATCGCTACCTGGCACCAAGTGCAGACCAGCCCCCTGAATCTGATCATGGCGGAGAGCGCGGAGTCGAACGAACGGTCAACCGACGAATACGAGTGCAAGATCTGCGAGATACGGTTTCAAACAGCCGGTCTGTACCAGGCGCACTGCCGGAAGATGCACGAGAGCGAGGAACAACGGTCGCCGAAGCAGGAGAGCGACGCGGAACAGACGGATCAACGGAACGACACCATCTCCGAGGATCTGCAGAAGCTGCAGACCATGCTGCTGCAATTGAACGGACTGAAGTCGGGCAAGGGAGTCTCCTGCGGCGTGTGCGGCAAAGAATGCGAGAACAGAGCGACGTTGCACATCCATAAAGTAACGGAGCACGGCGCGATAGAGGAACCCACATCCCCGCCGCAGGACAAGTCGCCAACGACCGCAGTTTCAGGTTTCTGCTCTCTTTGCGGTAAGGACTACCCCAACCAGGACGCTCTTCGCAGACACATCGCGGAAGATCACCAGCCACCCATTACCAGCTCCGTGCCTCACACGCCCACAACCACTTCCACCGTCACCAACTCGACGCCGACCAGCCAGACGCCCACGGAGAAGAAGGCGATCCCCATGACGCCTACGTCGAGCTACTGCGAGATTTGCAACAAGGAGCTGTGCAATAAGTACTTCATGAAGACACACATGCAACGAATGCACGGGATCGAGATCGAGAACGGCGCGCAGATCGGCGGTGTGATCTGCAACATCTGCAACAAGGAGCTTTGCAGCAAGTATTTCCTGCGCGTGCACAAGCACAACACGCACGGCATCGTGGACGAGAACGCGGCCAGCTCGACGAAACAGGAGGCTCACGGAGGCGCGGTGAGCACCGAGGATGTCGCCCTCAAGCCGGAGCACATCGGCGACCTGAGTCACAGATACTTCACTCATTTCACCGAGGTCTGTCCGATTTGCAACAGAAGGTTCCGTAGTATAAAATGGCTGAAGGCGCACTTGATGAGCGATCACGGGAAAACGGGCGTCGACAAGTGGCGCGAGATGGAGCAACAGTATCAAACGACTTCTAGACCGGGCAACAGACCGCCGAACGCCCCGAAGAACGCGCAGGGATCGAACTTGAAGATACCGAACGGATTCGATGTACCGCAACAAATCAAGTCCGTCGAATACGCCGGCCTCGGTAATCAGGTGTTGTCGAATCTACTGGGATCATCCTCGGACGGCGACCAGCAGCTGAAGAGCTACCGTTGCTCGTACTGCAATTTCACGACGACCGTGCTGCCCTTCCTGTTCCTTCACGAGAGATCGCACGTCAACTCCCACGAGAGTGCCGAGAGCGAAAAGTCGCTGCAGTGCCCGATTTGCTCGCAATGCTTTCATCAGTCGGAGATGTTGCATCAACATCTACTCACTGCTCACCAGTTCCCCGCGCTGTTGACCCACCTTCAGTCCCCGCTTCGCAATAACTTCGGACTGGACGCGGAGAGGATGGCCGAGGCCAAGGAGAAATACGACCCGGAAACGAAGGAGGATCGCACGGGGAACAGTCCGCGAGTCAGTGCCAATCAAACGATCCCCGAGACGGTCAGAAACCAACGACAAGAGGACACAGCGGTCCAGGTGACTCCTCAGGGTGTGTACAAGTGCGCGCAATGCGGGTACGCGACCACCAATCTGAATCGGATCAAGAAACACGTCCGGAAGGATCACAAGGCGATCGGCGATCCCACGGATAGCGTGTTGGCCGAGCTGAGCAAGACATTGAAGGACGTCGCGAATAGGCACAAGATGCCGGCCTGCTACGCGATGCCGCAGGACATGAACTCGAATCCCGACAAAACGATCATGCAGCCGTTCCTAATCGAGGAACAGGAGATTATGCAAGCCGGCGAGGAGTCGTCCACCTCGGAGAAACGTTTCGCGCCGTCCTTGGTCTATTTGCCGGTGAAATCGCGGATCAGCAACGCGGTGACCGCCTCGTTCACCCTGAGCCCCGCTTGAGACCGATTCCCGGAACTCGTTTCTGCGTCTGCGATTTGAGCACGTGTCATTGGTTCCTATTTAATGTGTAAGGTAATATAGCTAGGCGAAAGTTTATATATATATATATATATACATACATACACATATATTTTTCATAATATACGCGGCTCGGCCGGAGTTCCATTTTATCCATCGTTTAAGCGTACCGCGGCGCTGAAGCTGCTCGGCGCAGCCGACTCGCCGCGCGCGACGATCGACCCCCGAGATCGAGCGCGCGGTTCGTGATTCTGAACGTGTGGAATGGGTTTTTTGATATTCGATATTTATTTATTCAAGTCCGACGTAATCCGTGCTTTTGAGAAGATTTTTTTATTATTGACTCGTGCGCGCTGGTCTGTCCTTGCTCGTTTCGTGATTATTTCGTACGAAGATAATGGGTGTTCAGCGTCGCATGTGTTCGCGGTCGGCGAATGCGGTGTTTCTCGAGACGGTCGCCCGACCGACCGTGACGGTCGGTCCGAAAAATCGGTCCGCGCGTTTGAAAGCCACGTTGTTGATACGCTGTTCTAGTTCGGGAACGTTATATCGTAAATGGTTGATAATATAACGCGAACGGACGATGACGAGAAAGTTCCTATTTTCAACGCGACGGACCTTGCAACGAGCACGCGACCGTATTCTAATGACCCGTCGAACGGCAGTCCCCTTTG